CACATTTTTGCGATTTAAACTTAAGAATATATGCTATTCTGTAATCTCTCTCTCTCTCTCTCACACACACACACACACACACACTCACTCACTCACTCACTCACTCACTGTCATTACTACTTTGACACTTTGCCCCACACTCTCACCAAATAGTCTCCCGCTTTGTATTATCAGTGTATTTGACGGCACTTTTTATGATAACCACGACTTGTTTATTTTGACGTAAAAATATACTAAACAAACAATTCTTGTGCTAATCTTAAAATATAAAAGTAATTAAGTTATTAAAATTTAAACTAAATATAAATATTGTATTATATTAAATAATTATTATTTATTAATTTTAATTAAAATATTGTCTATTAAATAATTGCATAATTCTATTTAATATGCAATAAATAGTGTATTTGATGATATTTAAATTAAATTAATATTATTTTAATAAGTCTATTATGATTATAATTATTGCGTTAATATACCAGTTAAAGTGTTATACTCGACATTGAAATGACTATGTTGTAAATATAGTTTATAAATAGATTATATGTCAAGAATTTCGCAAGTATATTTTACTATATTCTGTACAAAATATAAGTATTTTATTTATTTAATATGGTCAAACTCAAGAATATGTACTAGATGATACGATTGAGNTTTTACTATATTCTGTACAAAATATAAGTATTTTATTTATTTAATATGGTCAAACTCAAGAATATGCACTAGATGATACGATTGAGATTGCACATGATTTTATTATCAAATGCCAAATCAATTATAAAGTTTATAATTAATACTGAAATGAATATAACATGTGAACAAAAGCGTGTAAAATTGTGCTAAATTATTTGTATTCCGATTATGAATTGGGTATATAAGCAAGGATATAAACCTCCAGTTCCATTACAAGTTTAATAAGTATTGACAGTTAATAATGAAAGCCTTCATAGCTTTAGCCCTAATAGTGTCGGTGAGCGCCATTCCCCTCCAGGAACTGGAGAGCGAATGGATTGCATTCAAGGTATGAATTTATGAAAATCTTGACAAGAATTTTTAATTAAATTAATAATACTAATCATTATATTACAGAATCAATTCCGTAGTAATGCCTACTTAGGAGCGGACGAGGAGGTTATGCGGCGACAGGTCTTTGAGACCAACTATGGGTATATCAAAGCCCATAACGCTGAGGCTGACAACGGTGTCCACACTTTCCGATTGGGTGTCAACCAGTTTGCAGACATGACTAACGGGGAGTACCGAAAGCAACTGACCCTTAAACTGAAGCCCCACCACTTAAATCTGACTTTTGCTGAGGAAAAGGTCAACCCGGCCCTACCCGACAGTGTCGACTGGAGGTCCAAAAATGTAGTCACACATGTCAAAAATCAGGGACAGGTATGTGTTTTATAGTACATTGATAATTGAACATGTTAATTAGTTAAACCTTGGATTTGAACGTATAGTGCGGTTCGTGTTTTGCATTCTCGGCCACCGATTCAATTGAAAGTAAGTTTTATTTATTTCGAGAGAGAGAGAGAGAGAGAGAGATAGAGAGAGAGAGAGAGAGAAACAATTATAACTTATAATTATTCTTATAATCTAATTAATATAATTAATTAATACTTATAATCCACAAGTAAAATTAAGTTTCAATATAAATTACTCATTTATTATCATACTTTAACATTTTATTAATGATAACTTATTTCTAAAATTAAAAGTTAAATATAAAATAAAACTAATTAGTTAAATAGAATATCTAAATCTATTAAATATTCTACAATTTACATAAAATACTAATACAAATACCTGACCCACAGGTCAATACGCTATCAAAACCGGACAACTGGTCACTCTATCGCCGCAAAACATAGTCGACTGCATTCAAAGCGCCGGCGATGTCTGCCAAACCGGTGGCGATACCGTTGAGGCCATACAACTGGTCATTGACGAGGGAGGCATCGAGAAGGAGTCGGACTACCCATACCAGGCCTATATGGATGACTGCCAGTACACGTCCAGAAGCAAAGCCGTCTCAGTCACTGGTGTGCACACCCTGCAGACCGGCTCGGAGTCTGCCCTCCAGAGCGCCGTTAGCAGTGTGGGCCCGGTATCCGTGGCCATCGATGCCAGTCATCAGAGTTTCCAGTTTTACGACTCGGGTGTCTATATTGAACGCTCGTGCAAACATACCGTCCAGGGTCTGGATCACGCAGTACTAGCCGTGGGCTATGGCACTGAGGATGGCCAGGACTACTGGCTCATCAAGAACTCGTGGGGCACACAGTTTGGTGAGAATGGCTATATTAAAATGGCCAGAAACCATAATAACCAGTGCGGTGTAGCCACCTATGGTGTGTACCCGACCGGTGTTAACTAAATGTGATTCTGTATTACAGTAAATGTATATTAAGTGAGAATCCAATGTAAAAATTTATGCCAAAAAAATAAAATAAAAAATATTTATTAAATCTGATTCAGTTATACAGTTTGTATTTGTTTGTTAGTAAACCTTTACATTTATCGCGAACTTTGAATTATAATTAATAAGTACTTTATAGATTAAATTGATTTAGGACATTTCTAAATGTAATACTGTGTTAAAAACGAAAGGTGTAGTCATTTGAAAGTGATAACAATAACCTGATTATTGTCATGGTGTAGGTGCCGTACGGACCCCTCCCAGTGATAATGAACTTCACGCGTAATCCATAGAAACAGACTTATTATCAATCAAACATATTAACTAGGAACTAATCCCTGTATTTCAATACAGTTTGCCATAAAACCGTCGATAGATATGTTCAATAAAAAATTCCTAGAAATTACATGAAAGTTATGAAAAATACAAACAGATATATCATAAAACTACTGTAAATTATGATTAACATGCAATATTACCTACCATAACGCTTGCAACTTATTTTACCGTTATTATGAAATCATATTGTTTTTATCATATCTTATTGTATTTGATAAAACATATTACAAATGGGAATTGAAATGCAACTCATAAAACTTATTATATAAATTCATTTGCATTTAACGACTTTTCACTTAAAATTATCGAGTTAGACCACAAAGTGTGCCTGGTTATTCACATCATAATTGTCTATTGATCTCATATTTGTTATAATATTTTAATACTTAACGTGAGTAATAGTTTGTGTGAATTAAAACAAATGTTAACTAAAAAACTTTCTAAAAACATAAAACTAATAATTTTTACCAAAAACACAGGTAATTACATAACTCGCAAATATGAAACTTATAATACTGTCAGCGCTGGTAGTAATGGCCAGTTGTCTACCACCGACTCCTGACGACATTGAGAACGAGTGGCAAAAGTTTAAGGTATTATTGATACAAAACTTGTGTTAATACCAAAAAACTAAAACATATTTCAATGATAGAGTGAATTCCGGGGCAGTAATGGCTTCCAGGCTATGGCTGATGAGCCGAAGCGCCGGCAGGTATTTGAGACCAACTATAAGACGATTGTCAGCCATAATGACGAGGCGGACAAAGGCATCCATACGTACCGAATGGGTGTCAATCAGTTCGCCGACTGGACTGATGAGGAGTTTCAACAGAAAATGCTTTCACTTCATATGAAACCACTGACTGATGTCCACAATCTCACACAATATGTCCGAAATACTAATAGTAAGAAAATAATACCTCCGAATCAGGACTGGACGTCGAAGGAGTCCCGTATCAAGAACCAGGGTTCAGTAAGTGTATATACAATACCGTTCCCCTTATTGTACTCAATGTATGTCTCAATCAATAGTGCGGTTCGTGTTTCGCGTTCGCATCGGTCGACACCATTGAAAGTAAGCCTAAAATATACACACAATTGTGAGAAATATTAATTGAATACTGACGCCACCGGTAGGTCACTACACCATCAACACTGGCAATAAGATAGAGCTGTCGCCGCAGAATATCGTGGACTGTCTGTACCGGTCGGATGTGTGCCAAACGGGCGGTTCACTGGCGGAGGCCTACAATCTGGTGAAAAAAAATGGCGGGATTATGGCTGAGTCGGACTACCCCTATGAGGGAGAGTACGGCACCTGTAGCTATAAACCATACCTGAGCAAGGTCACGGTGTCCGGGTATGAAGGCCTGGACAACGGCGATGAGGTAGCCCTCAAGGAGATGGTCTCCAAAGGCCCGGTAGCCCTGGGTATTGACGCGTCCCTAAAAAGTTTCAAACTCTACTCGTCCGGGGTCTATGTGGACAACACGTGCCATAACCCCATGAACCACGGAGTGGTGGCCGCGGGGTATGGCGTGACCAGCGATGGCCAGGAGTATTGGCTCATTAAGAACTCGTGGGATAAAACCTGGGGTGAGGCCGGGTATATGAAAATGGCCCGCAATAACGATAACCAGTGCGGGATAGGACTGCACTGTCTGACCCCCACGGGGGTTACTGCTGTCTCACACTAAGCACTATTACTATACTGAGAGTATGTATGCAAATGTGGTGAAGTCACGAAAATTATTTATTTATTTTTTATATACCGTAATATTACGGTAATTATAAAAGTTTATGCTTTATAATTATAAAAACACAATCATATTGAAAAGTATTTGTAATTAATAAATGATTATTTTTGATTATTTTCTTAAACACGGGTTTGTGTGATAAAACTATAAATTCATTTCAAAATAACAGTAATAAAGTGAATATATTTTCTAAACAAACAGTGATTGTCATTAAGAGTAAGGAATTGTTTGTCAAATTATTATCCATAAAATGAGACATCAATTCAATACATAATTAATTTCAAAATTACGGGTAATACTGAAATGAAATGATAAATACATTGAAAGTTATATAAAAAGCATAAAAAGAGATTCAAAATGATTGAAATGCAAACATATATAATGAGAAGACGTTAAGAAGTGGAGGATTATTATAAGACAATGTCTTATGTGTTGAGCACCACTTACTTCTTGCGATACGATCTCAAATGACTGCTAAACGCACTCAAGTATAGAGTGGTAAACCTGCAGCCCTTATGACTGCACTTATAGGGATGTGCTCTGGCTTTGTGTGCCTTCAGCTCCTCCTTTGTCCTGAAGACTCGGTGCCGGCCGTCGCACTCATCGCACGGGAACTCCGGTGTAATCGAGTGTTGATTCTGGTGATGATTGTCCAGCACTCGAGGGTATACCGTCGAGAAGTCGCAGCTTCTCTCGAGGCACCG